CCTCCGCCTTCGATCACCCCTCATCCCTTCCCATCCAATTCTCCAATTCCCTCAACCCCTCCCCATCCTCATCCCGTCACCCTCATCATCATCATCATCCTCATAAGCCTGCGATCCAAAATTCAGATCATCCAGCTAGCTCCTCAACTAACCCCCAATCGCCCCTCAAACAGACAAACATCACCCCAGCCGACAGGGCTTCGATCCTCAGTTGGTCTTCCAAAGATCAGGCCCACGAGAACGCCACGTTTCATGGCCGACGTCAGAAGCGTACTATCTTTGCTGCTTCTTATGGCGATGCACTCGACGCTGCACGCTTCGATTGGCTCGGCGATGCCAGCCCCAACCGATCCCTCGGCCGGTTTCGACTCCAAATGCCAGTCGACCTCGATAGGGCTGCTGCCGCGGGTAAACGCAAGACTCGTCCTCGTCTCAAACTCAGTAAACATGACCTCAAACTTATCTCCAACACCGAAGAGGTCCTAGTTCCCATCAGACTCGAAATAGAGGTCGAACACTGGAAACTCAGGGATACATTTACTTGGAACCTCAAAGGTCGGTATGGTCTTCTTTCTTATCTTTTTTTTTTTTTTAAAAAAAAAATAGTTCTACCTTGAATATTGCTCAAGTGGATCATGTCTCCTAATCAATTATAAACAGAACCGGTCGTCACTCCAGAACAATTTGCAATTCATCTGTGTGAAGATTTGATTCTACCCATCCAACACTTCTCTGGCCCGATCGTCAGCGCGATCAAGGAACAGTTAGAAGAGTACAAGCTACACGAAAACTTTGAAGGCCATCTGGCCAGTCGAACAAGCCTTCCCGAGGAAGAGGAAACGATCGGTGATGATATGAAGATGATGGAGGGAACCAGTCATCTCCCACTCGATCATAAAGAACCGATGGCCGATCCTCAGCAACAGCAAAAAGAAGAGGCCTGGTGGGCCGAGTGGAGGGAGCGAATCATGACCATCGATGAGACGGACCAGAAACCGAATACAACGGACTTCCTGCGGGATGTGAAGCGGCCCAAGCTCGATCGCCCATCCACGCCCAGGCTCACAGCCACTCAGTCATCGATCCGATCACGGCTGATGGATAATAACGATCAAGACTTCAGGCCTGAACCCGCCGAGTCCATCTCACTCTCTACCGACCTCAGAGACGACGAACTCCGGATCCCCATCAATCTCGATATCATCTCCGGTAATATCCATCTCACCGATCGCTTTGAATGGGAAATTAGCGAACTCAATAATTCCCCCGAAGAGTTCGTCGAGGTTTATGCTAATGATTTGGGCCTCAGTGGCGAATTCAAGTATGAACTTTTTTTTCTTCAAAAAAAAATAATGAAAGTTCCAGTTGACTGACTGGTTTGCCAACCTCTTTCAGGACAGCGATTGCCCACTCCATTCGTGAACAGATCGAAACATATGTGAAATCATTAGCGCTAGTCGAGCACATCAATGGTTATCCCGTACCAAATGACGAACTAAGATATGCATTCCTACAAAGAGTCGCCGATCCGATTCGGACAGGACAGGTGGACGACTTTACGCCTTTCCTCAATCTCCTTAATGCTGAAGAGCTTGATCGCCAGGAGAAGGAACACGATCGAGAGGCACGCAGGAAGCGCCGACAGACCCGTAGTCGCCGAGGCATCACCTTGCCCGACAGGGAATCCCAACGAACCGTTCGCAGCATCGTACCCATCCAAGGTCTCAAGATGGTGATCCCCTATCAGAACGAGAATGAAGATTTAATCGTACCCATCCAACCTGTTGCTGAACCATTTGCCATAGAGGAATCGGCCGTCGAAATACCTGAGCCATCTGGTTAGTTGATCCCTGAAGTCTGTCTGTGGATTGCCTGTACTTATATATATATCTCTCTATTGTCCCATTCGAACAACAATCCTTCCCCAAGAACACCCACCGAAGAAGCATATCCCCGTTACTAAAGAAGTACAAATTCCTGACAGTCAGTTGGGTACACCAAACAAAGCTACTGGCAGTCGAGTCTCTCGCAGGTTGCGCGGTGCGACTGCTGACGTTGCATCAACTGGCACACCTCCCAAAACTGTGGAGTCGAACCCACCAGTCGACAAGGATGACGCGCCTACGCCAAGCAATGCTGGTACGCCTGCGCCTTGTCCATCCAATAAAAAGACCAATAACAAACCCGATCCTTCAACAACCAACATCAAACCCTCCAAGAAGCCCCCTCCTTCCGGCCCACGCACCCGAGGTGGGGTTGATTGGGAGGCTCTCGGTCTACATGATCCGATGGTCGACGGTGTTTGGCACTGCAGTAATTGCGGCTGTCCTGACTCAATTGCTGTAGGTAGGCGGAAAGGTTTGGGCGGAAAAGATACCCTTTGTGGCGAATGTGGTAAGTGCGGTGACTTAAATAGTCTAATGCCATTCACATTCCCGTGCTGAACATCGGGATCATGTCATTATTTCTTTGCGAGCAATAGGGAGATACATGCATCGATATAAGAGAAACCGGCCTACCCTTTACAATACTTCGGCCGACTACCACACAAGCCTCAAACTGGAAGCTGATAAAGCCAAACAAGCTATTGCTGACCAAGAAATCGTTCGCAAGGATAAGAACAAAACTGAGAACCAAAATCTTCCGGGTAGTCTGAACAGCAAGAAGCGCAAGAAAGAAGGTCGGAGCAGTTTATTACCCAAACCGGAACTTATGAGACGCAGTGAAGATCGCGCGGCTAGTGTTGCGAGTAGCGCCAAGAGTGCTGCTTCTAGAGAGTCTTCTCCTGAGCCATCCGTTCGCTCAGCTAATAACGGGGCCTCAGAGAAGCCACTTTCCAAAAAACGTTCTCGCATCCATGGAACTTCAGAGGCCCCTCCACCCGCCACCCGAGCCCAAAAAGGCATATCCAAGACGATGATCATTGATTCCCCCGAGCCAGGCAACTCTCCCGACTCGAACTCACCAACCAACGCCAGATCGCAATCTACATCGACCTCTCAACCTACCAAACCAGCTCGCGTTAGTAGCCGTCGGAGCAGCACCAAGAAAGGTTCTGAGAAGAATGAAGATGGTCCCGACCGACCGCCAGGTTCGAAATCTCCACCAGCGGTTGGAACTCGACAGGAGAGCCAGAAGAGGAAAGAGCCCCGATCGAAGGACCCATCCGTGAAAACCAAGAACGGGAGCAAGAGTCCTGAGGAGGATCAGGTCAAGTCACAGCCTCCTCCTGGTTCTCGTTCCGGTTCTTTCTCAGGCTCGGTTGGTGGGGGCAAAGACCCGAGAAACGTGCAGCGGCGTTCGATGACCAACGGGCGGGTCCCGCCGCCGATTCCTTCGATTCCAAAATTTGACCCTCCAGCTTGGATGACCGCTGCTCTCAGTGGTATCAATAAAGTATACCCTTCTGATCGCGTCGAGCTAATCCCCAAGCCCAGGAGACTTGATCCCGGTCAACCCCTTGTTGTCGCTGCCTCCGATTGGAGGCTGAAGTGTACCGATTGTCCTGGAAAGGTGTGTGCTCTTGTTTATATATATATATTTCATCGGGCATTGTCAGCGCCGACTTATTTGGTTGTTTCTACTTGGATAGCTATATACAGTCGGTCCCGGCGAATCCTTCACAAACTTTGACGTGCACTTGAAAAATCGAGTGAGTAAGAGAGAATGAACAAACATGGATCATCAAGGAATAACTAATGTGTTTTTTTTGTCCTTCCCCACCGTAGCAACATCGACAAAAAGTGGAACAGAGAGTGGCTGATGCCACCAAGAAAGCGCAACAACAGATCTCACCTACTGGTAGTTCGCATAGTCAGCCTGAAATCTCACCGACTGGAACCACAAATCAACAGCCTTCCCAATCTTCATCTTCCACTACTTTCAATGCTCACCAACCCCAAGTCTCGCCCACCGACGGGTCCCAACAACTCCAAATATCCCCAAGCGACGGTAGTCAGCAACTGCACTCACACGCCGGCTCACAAATCTCGCCGGTTGAAAACACACACGCTGGCTCACATATCTCGCCGGTTGAGAACAACAGTCAGCTGAACGGTCACAATTCTCGTGGTCCGTCCGAAGCCTCTCCAATTGTTTTTGATTCACAGTACCAGCCTATGGTTTCGATGAACAGTCATTTGGAAGGCATCCCATTTGAGAATCCGGGACAGTCTGACGGGAATGGACCAACGAGCTCGTTACCGCCGATCACGACCACCCTTGCCGCGGCTGAATCGACCGGTCAAGAGGAGGACAGTGTGCCTCCGGTTGACTCGCTCGGTGTTGATCAAGAGCTTGTTGAGGAAACCTCGGAGGGGTCGGCCAATCCGCCTCCTGCTCCTTCGTCACTCGATGGGGTTGCGATTCAGGAAAACAACGACTCGGTGGGGCCCAGCCAGTCCTCAAAGGACGGAGAAGAGGAAGAGGAGACGGGTCAGTCTCCGATACCGGCGCCGGGTACTGCCGAGCTTCTTCCAGACTCTCAACAGAGTCACCCACTTCCTTTGCCGCCGATCTCCGATCAACTCCCTCCATCGGCCGCTGTTGGGCTGCCGGGGCTTGGAGCGATCCGGCCCGAGCTTCCGGCCAGGCCGATGATAGGTCCCGATGGACCGGGCCCGTTCTCCTCCTCGGCCTATCCTTCATCCGGCCCGACACATTCTCCCTCCCCCGGCCTGCCCGCAATCCGACGACCTTCAATGACCCTCGCCGGAGCGCCACATCATCTCGGATTCCCCGCTCGCCCAACCCCTCCTCCTGGACTCAACAATCCACCGCTCCTTCACCACCCCGCTCATCTCCATTACAACCGTAATAATCCCAGCCTCATCCATGGCCCAATCGGCGGCGGTAACGGGATCGGTAATCTGCCTGGCTTGTCCTCCTCCTCCTCCGTCTCTTCTACCATTGTTCCATCTAGTACTGCTGCCGCTACTGGTCCTGCTGTGGCTTCTCATCCTGTTCCTATTCGTCATCCTCCTCCTCCTCCTCCTCCACACACTCTCGTTCATCCTTTGCCTAAAAAACCTACGTTTGATTGATCTCATCTTCTCCTTTTTTTTCCTCCCTCTCTCTTTTTCTCTTTCTCTTTCTCGCTCTCTCGATCTTGTTTCCTTCTTTTTCTCTCTCTCTTTTTCTCTATCTCTATCTATATTCTTACACCAATATTCCTATCCAAAAAATGAAAAAGAAAAAAAAAAAATATATTCTCAAAATATTTAAAATCAAAGTCTGAATCTGACAAAATATCTTGTTCTTGTTCTTTTTTTGCGTTTTGTGTTTTTTTTTTTTTTTGGTTTTGTTGAGACGATTAACGATGATGATTTTTTTTTTTTTTTCAATTTCCAGAAATCCAGTTCGATTCCAGAGTTTATTATCAAGTAGTTCAAGTGTGCAAGACGAGATGATGATTGATGAGAAGACAGGTTTGTTTCCAAAGGATGAAGTTGATCGAGAGAACCCATTTAATTGTTTTCTTTCTTGAAGAGAGAAGAGAGAGGAGAGAGTAGGCAACAACAAGAAGAAGAAGAAGAAGAGGGAAAGCAAGGTATGAATGTGAGATTCCCAAAAGGCTCCAATAAATGTGGACCAGGAGTGGTTGAAATAGAGCTATGGATTGCGTGACTTGAATTGGGGTCACAGAGCAACTCCACCGCAGAGTGCAAACTGTGGGAGCATGTAAACCATGCTAAGACTTCTACATAGTGGCTCCAATAAACCTGCTGTGCACACCTTATAGTGGGCATGCAAACCGGGATGGAAAAATCGTCCCAAGCAAGGTGTTGGTCTGACTATTGCCTCAGAGGGACCTGCGGTACAGGGCTGGCTCAAAGCCTGGCCTCTGATTTGAAGGAAGGGATCCTTAATGCAGGTTAGACCAGTTTTTTTGGGGGAACTGAGACTCAGAGCTTTTGCATTATGACTAGTGGGGCTCCTCGGGAGCAGAATTCCCCTCTTCTCTCTGCATACAATATACATTCTTGAGGCCTGTGACATCATCAACGTCAAGGCCGTAATCATTTTCTCTCTCTTCTTTTTTGGGAGGTGCCCAATTGTCTTGATGATCATGCACGTCTTCCCCTTCCCCCCCTTCCCCCCCTTTGAAATTTTCTCCATTTACATAAATATGTCTGTTTGGAAATTGGGTTGTGTGTGTAGTCATGCAGCAATACACAAGGGCGAGATTTCTGGGCTTATTTACCAGGAAAAAAAAAAGAAAGAAAAAAACTCAACACCTGCAGGTATGTACCTGGATGCAACCCCCCGCGATAAGGTTGCCCAGAGGCAACCAATATAAGATTGGCCTCATTGTCCAATTGTACAGCTATTTCAGAAAGGGTTGTCCAGTTGACTCGCTTTTTTTTTTTTTTGAAATTTTTTGAAATTTTTTGAAATTTTTCTTTGTACTGAACTACAGCCAAGGAGGTACAGCTGTCATCAGTAGTTCAGTTCTGACAGGTCCAGTTCAGTAAAAAAATAAAAAATAAAAAAAAATAAAAAAGAATTTGCGAGTCCAAGTGGACAACCCTTTCCGAAATAGCTGTATATCAGCCAGGCCCACCAATACGTTTTTCCTTTGTTCGAATGTATTGGTGGGCCCGACCGATAAAAAATTGGTCAATGAGACTGATCTTATATTGGCTGCCTCTGGGAGACTTTATTGTGGGGGGTTGTAACCAACACAACCCCTTTTGCAGTGATACCTGCCCTGGCGGGTGCAGGTGTCAACAATTATATTGGTATTCAAAGTTGAAATGCATGAAATCATAGAGTGCATAAGATTATAATGTATATCTTTTTTTGGCAGGAGTTTCAATCATAAAGTGGGAAACTCCCACCAAAAAAAAAAAAAATATGCATTATAATCTTATGCACTCTATGATTTCATGCATTTCAACTTTGAATACCATAAATATTGGATTTTTGAGGCAGGTACCCACACCCGCTCTGGCCCCTGAGTACCTGGGTATGAAGTGACATCTCTGATGGGCAAGTGGCTTGGAAAACACCCATGATCAAGTTTGAAGACAAGGCGGGTAAGGCTGACAATAGGCTTAGGGGGCTTCCTAGATGCTTGGAGTTTGTAAATCTTCAAATCACCTGTAGTAAGCTGCAGCAATTTTCAAACGATGGCCTTGGGATGTTTTCATTCCCTAATCCAAACCACATTTAAGTTGGAAAGTTATCTGTTTCAGTCGATGGAAAGCTTAAGCACTTTCAAGTCTGCATGAGCAACATGGGTAGGTATGTCCAGAGATTGAATTGTTAAACTTGAGTTTTCAAATAAGAAAAAAAAAATCTCTAAGAGCATCTTTACCGTTTGAGCTAAAAGCAAGTGATCTAAGTTTGTAACTATTGCTAAGCTACAATAGCGACAGCGGTGGGCCGCTACGCTACACTACGCTACGGGCCCATGTAGCGTTAGCGTAGCGGCACCAATTTTTTTCGCGTAGTGTTAGCGCGCCGCTACGGCCGCTGCGCTACGCTAATTTGTAGCGGCGCTAACACTAGCCATTTTTTGGTGTAGTGTCAGCGCGCCGCTGGCGCTGCTACGCTGCGTTACGCTATGCTACAGCGTTTTTAGCGGCAAAAAACGCCTCATAACCGCTAAAAATTGCTGTAACGCAGCGTAGCGGGCTGTTTTTGGCGGCATGTGCATGTAGCGTTAGCGCAGATGGGGGGAATTGCGCTAACGCTACACTAAAAGTTAGCGCAAGTTTTTGCCCCATGCGTGTAGCGTTAGCCCAAAAAATGAAAAAAGCGCTAACACTACGCTAAATTGTAGCGAAAAATTGCTACAGCTGGCCCACCATTGATAGCGACAACAATTCAGTCGCACCGGTGTGGCTTGAGGTTAAAGTTGTGATTGATGGTTTGAAGTCAAGGGGTGTAATATTTGCGGGAGGGCACCAAATTGGAGCAAGTACATGCACGGGTGTTTGCTTTTACAGCAGTTCCCAGAAAGCTTGCGCTCGCGAGCTCCTGGGATCTGATTTATTTTTTATTTTCTTTCAACTTTTTTTTGTGCCTCGTAACCTGTACACATGACTGTACAGGTTGCGAATCTGCTGCCGAGGCCGGGTGAGGCCTCCGGGCACCTGTTGGTTGCCTGGTGGGGGCTGAGTACAAAGGGTGTGATGACCGCTTCCGACTCAAAAAAATGAGAGGAATCCAATGGTCCAACTCCCATATCTTCAACTTGAAAAATGGGGGAGTTGGGCCATGATGCCTGGAATATTATGGCTGTACAAGGCCACGTACAGGACAGAAAAGCAAAGAAAAATCAAGGCACAAATAAAAAAAATTGGGATCCCAGGAGCTCGCGACAGCAAGCTTTCTGGGAACTGCTGTAGCTAGCTTGCGAGCTAACCGTTGCTAGATCTAGCAACGAGCTAGTTTGACTTGACTTTAGCTCAGCCCAGTGTGGTTGAATTTTGCAGCTAAAGTCCTTAGCTCACGCGGAATTAGCCACCAATACGGATGCTCTAAAATGGGCACACACATAGGCTTTTAAGGCTACAATAAAAAAATGACATTCATCATTGCAATGGGCTACAGGATACAAAGCAATCAAGCAATGACAATGCTCACAGCTTTCAACGACCTCCAAGATGACAGGGAACAAGCACATTAGAATTTAGGAGGGATGTCATGTTTTGGAAGTGCTTGTAGGCTGCAAGAGATAACTCATACCACAAACCATACATCAGGTGCAGCTCGAGGTACACACCGCTTGCACACACCGCTTGCAAACACCACCAAGGAAGAAACCAGAAGAAGCAAACAGATTCATTCTGGCAGTCCTCACATGCTGCAAGCAATTCTACAATGACCAGAAAAAAAAACAGCCCCAATGGAGGCACTTGCAAGGTGGGAATATGAATGGATATGGATTCCTTTGTTAGATCAATTTAGACAATGACACCAAAAATCAACACAAAACAACAAGTTGAGTGGATAAGCTGAATGGATTTTATCAATGTACATTTTAAGTGACGACGATCGACCGTTCTTGCCCTTTGATCACAACCCCTTTCTTCATTGGACAAAGATCTGAGACCCGATTGTTACCATACACGGACAAGCTTTTAAGGTGCTTCATGTGATCCAACAAAGATCTATCAAAAATATAACAAGTAAAAATAGTCAATATTAATTTTTTTTTTTAAAAAAAAAAACACTTGAAGATATGGGAAAGACAGAAATGGAAGAAATGTGGAACTCAACTTGATAATAAAATCATCAACATCTCTGACAAAACTGACATCCAAGTATTCGAGATGGATGGTCTCCTTAGCTAGTCTCTCCAGAGCTTCTGCACGCAGTTCATCGACACTGTTCAAGTTCAGATACTGTAAAGTGCGTGCCGAATGGTCGAGGATTGAATAAAGCGCTTCATTCCCAATCTGTTTTTTTTTGTATGAACACAAATCATACATGGAAGAAGAAATGTTAGGCTTATCTGAAAGTTTTTTTGGGGGGGAGAGAGAGAGAACAGTTATCAAGCTCACCTTGATACACCGAGATACGTCTAAATGTTTGAGTCCAGAGACCTCATTCTCTTTGAATTGAGCAAACAATCCTTGGATTCCCTTTGTAGTAACTTCTTTCAACCCATTCAGGTCAAGATAAGTTAATTTAGAACAGCATTTGGAGATGCCAACTAAGACTTCATCGGTCAATTTCTTATTTTGACTGATATCTAATCGTTCTACCGTTCCTCCGATAGATTCCAAGAGACTATTATACAGCGGCAAAGAAGAAGGGACAAGAAATTGTCAACATTTCTTTTTTTTTTTTGAGGGGGTATCAGTCAAGAAAGACAACCAAAAAAGGCTAACCCTATCACTCCAGCATCTGTCAAGGCTTCGCCTGTTGCGCCATTGTGGATCCCAGCATTAGCGATGGACAAGTCTCTCAGTTTGGTCAAGCCGGCCTGAGCAATGACGTCCAAGGTCTTATCGTCCAAGAGGCCGATATCGATCAGCCTTAAAGAGGTCAAGTTCGTGCACGAACTGACAAGAGCCTTGACACATTCAAGATCGAAGCGAGGAGACTGTTTCAATCGAAAGCCTTCGATTTGAGGCGCTTGGATCAACTCGATTTCTTTGCCCCTTTCGGCACCATCTTCCCCACCCTCCTCTTCGTCTTCTTCATCTTGCTGTCTGACCATCCTTGGCTTGCTCCATGTCTCAAACGCCTTCAGCCATTCGTGCTTCCGAATTAGATACGGTCCAAATAGCTCGAGCTCGCGTAGCTTGGATAGTCGCTCCACATAGGTCTGTAACACTTCTCCAGTCATGTGGCCACATAGGTTTAAGGTCAATTTTTCCAGTTGAGGACAAAAATATGCAATGCTTTTCAAGTGTGATTCGCGTAAATCTATTTGAAAAAGGGTTTTTTTGATGATTGGTCAACTTTCAGGCATTCGTGCACGTGGGTTTTTATTCTTGGTTTTGGGAAATGTCAGGATAGGAAGGCTTACTAATGCAATCAAACAGCTTCAAATCACAGTAAGCTGCATCGACAAACAAGGAAAGATTCGAAGGGGTTAATTCGCGATGTTTGCAGACGATCTGGCAAATCTTTTCGAGGCTAATAAGATGTACGTTGTTGTTGAAAACCACATTTGATGATTGGTCAGTAAAAAATTTTGAGAAGAAAAAAATGGCTGGTCCCTTAGTTGGGGTAGGGGTGTGTGTAAACAAGCGGGATAAACAAAGAAACAAACAAATGATGAGCTGAACTGACTTGACACTGCCTATGTTTCCAAGTTCTTCAACGGATTGAGTGTTCCGAGCGATGAGGTTGATACATGCCATTTGTAGAGTCTGTATTGAGTTTTCAGACCAAGGTTGTCTGACGACTTGGTTTTTGGTCGTCTTGCGTTTCTTAGGGGCAGGGACAGGTAGATGGTTATCGTTGGAACGAGACTTGGGATTCTTAGCGAGCTCCTGGGTGCAGCCATCACAGAGTTGGCCCTGTTGACCGGGCGCACTAACGGTATAACGGGTGACCGTAAACCGCTTCCCGCATTCGGCGCAAGTCGTGATCAAGCCTGGTTTTCGATCGGCATATTTCCCTGGTTTGGGCTTCGATGGTTCGGGTTCTTCAGGTTTCTTCTTGGAGGATGAGGCTTCTGCTTTAGAAGTGGTAGATGGTTGATTTGTTTGGGCGAGTTTCTGTTTCTGCTTCTTCGCAGGTTTGTCGTCCAAGTCATCTGAATCTGGCTCCGGGTCACTTGGACCATCCGGGGTCTCTTCAGCCACTTCTGGGATCGCCGGTTCTGCGGTAGAAGTCGAGGCTTGCTGGCGGAGAGGAGTGAACCTGTTAACATTCCTGGCCCGAATCCCTTGTTCCTACGTAATTAACAACCAAAGACCAGTCAATCAATCCATGCTTGCAGAAGAACAAGGTTGTGTTTTTTTTTCTGAAATCTTACTTTTAAGAAAGATGTCAAGGCAGAAGTAGGCCCTGTGACTCCTGAGGTTGATGGCTGAGGTTGAGATGGACCGGCAGTTGGATTTGGTTGTGGATTCTGGTTTTCCGAGTCCGTGTTAACTCGAGAAGTTGAGGCTGCTGGATTTGATGGGGGCCTTTGAGCAGGTGTTTGGTCATTGTTGGTGGGTTGGTTGAATCGAGAAGGGCGCGCCATGTTGTGTGGTGAGGTTGTGTGGATGGACAATAGGTTGATGGAAGTAGGAAGTTGTGTTGGAGCAAGCTTGGCTTATATTGCAACTTGCCTTTGCCGGAGAGGCCGGTGAAAAGGGCGCCGCAACGTAGGGGGAGGAATGTTGGATCCTGAGACGATATCAAGCTAGAGGCGTGGGGAGAATGTGACTGGGTGAAGGCCTGCCGAGAAGTAAGCTGGGAAGACTCTTGGAAGGAAGATGAAGAAGCCGAGAGCAGATCCAAAGGAGGCTTTCGTTGATGTTGGAGGTGATTGAAGGGCGGCTAGACTGGTCGATTGGAATTCAAGAGGTGAGCCGAAGGGGGTTGGCGAGGAAAAGGTGGCGGGCCGGCGGAGTTGGAAGGTAGGCAGTTGGTAGGATGAGCTTGGTGCAAAGAGGCTGATGGGAGGTAGAAGGTAGAATCAAAGTCAGTAAGCCGAAACTCAAGAGAGAGGTGATTGATTCAAACCGAGCAGAGACAAACGAGACAGATGGGATGATAGGGGAGGAGATGTTGAGATTGAAATGAGAAGAGAAGGCGAAGAAGATGGAGTGTGATGAGGAATTCTAAGGGAGTCAAGTATCTGGTTCGGGGTGAATGAAGCGAAAGGATGGGAGGGATGGTCAACAGGGGTATGTACTCGAGCTTATCGGTTCTCCCATCCAATTCTCCAATTCTGGCAATTCCCTCAACCCCTCCCCATCCTCATCCCGTCACCCTCATCATCATCAGATCATCCAGCTAGCTTCTCAGCTAACCTACAATCGCCCCCCAAAACAGACAATCATCACCCCAGCCGATAAAGCATCGATCCTCAGTTGGTCTTCCAAAGATCAGGCCCACGAGAACGCCACGTTTCATGGCCGACGTCAGAAGAGGTCAGAAGTGTACTACCTTTGCTGCTTCTTATGGCGATGCACTCGACGCTGCACGCTTCGATTGGCTCGGCGATGCCAGCCCCAACCAAACCACCAAACCCTCGGCCGGTTTCGACTCCAAATGCCAGTCGACCTCGATAGGGCTGCCGCCGCTGGTAAACGCAAGACTCGTCCTCGTCTCAATCTTAAAAAATCCTAGGAAATTCAGCTTGTAAATTTTTTGAAAACTGAGTTGAGCTGAAGATGTCCAACATGGTGGTGGTCTTGACTTCCATCAAGAAATTTTTGAAAAAAAAAATGAAAACTACACAATTGGAGGACTTCCTGTCATCATCTGAGAGCCAGTTTAGAGCCTCGAAATTCAAATTTCCCTGCAAGAATTTAAAGTTTTCCGCTCTTGATCGACTTCTTCGAGGGTCCCAGATCCGATGGGAAGTCCTCCATTGAAGAATTTTTAAGGAAAGTTTGCTAAGGCTCCGTTTGGCAGTCCAAAATATCATAAATGATTATGTGCAAATCCGCATAATCAAATTAAGGTTGATGAATCACCAACTCATTATTATGCAGCTAGAAGATTGATGGACTTATTACGGTGGCTGTTTGTGACGGCCGCAATAATTGCAACTAACCGTAGGCCGTCTGTTACTCATCTCACCAATACACCCACCTTCATCACTATCAAGGCCCCAAGAGACATATCTCAAGCACCAACCCAAAACACTGCTTTCAAAGCTCTTCTTGGCCAAATCAAGATCCACCCCCGCTATCAAGACGAACGGACACAAACTTTGATCAAGCTCACAATCCGTGTCATTATACTCGCTGGACTCTACGAGTGGTTGCGCACATTCAAGACACCTTACAACAATGCACCATTCACTGGCCGAGACTATGTGGAGTTATGGCGCCCAGCTACTATGGGCTGCTTTTTTCGAGGTGGCATGTACAATTGTTGATGAGGATGAGGGGAGCAGGGGGTGGTGATTGGAGGCTGGGAGATGAGGGAAGGAAGTGAACTCGGCCAAGAGGGGAGACAATCTGTACTTATGACTGTAAATTTTGGTCTGGGACAGGATATCCCCAATGGCTGGGGGTAATATCCAACTATCATATCTGGGTATGAGCTACATGTTATACCGTGCCAGCCAAACACGAATTCTATTTATGGTCATAAGCTCGGTCCCCCGTTATAATCTGCAGGATTTTCCAACGATATCTTATGATATTTTGGACTGCCAAACAGAGCCTAAATGAAAAGTTGGCTGAGCTTACATAAGCCAGTTTCAACCTCACTGCCTACCAGGTGAGAACATTTTCTCAATTTGACCAACTTGAAAAAAATCCACCTCATCCAATTTTCCAGATAAAGCGCTGAAAGCTGGATGAGGTGAGAGTCATCACCAAAGCTCTAAAAGCTTGTCTACTCAAATTTCAAAGATCTGGTCATGTGCAGGCTGTACATCCAGCTCAATGTGTGCTACACCAAAACTGCCCAACCTTGACACGCGGGCATGTTTGTCTTTGTCTTAAGCAATGGTGGGCCGCTACGCTAAACCACCCACTAACGTTAGTGTAGCGGCCCTCAAAATAGTGTGCCAAACCTGTAGTGTTAGCGCCACTACGCTACAGGGCTTTTAGCAGCAGAAATGGCCCAAAAGCCGCTAAAATGTGCTGCAGCACAGCGTAATGGGCCCATACGTGTAGCGTTAGGGGAGTTGTGGCAGAATTCTGCTAAGTCCCTCCTTTGGAGGCCCGCGTGTTCCACACCAGCCAAGGCCACCAGGCCCTACAAAGCAAGGGACTTTGATAAGTTTGCCTCCTAATCAATTATAAACAGAACTGGTTGTCACTCTAGAACGATTTGCAATTCATCTGTGTGAAGATTTGATTCTACCAATCCAACACTTCTCTGGCCTGATTGTCAGCGAAATCAAGAAACAGTTAGAAAAGTACAAGCTACACGAAAACTTAAGGCCATCTGGCCAGTCAAACAAGCGTTCCCAAGGAAGAGGAAACAATTGGTGGTAACATGAAGATATGAACTTTTTTCTTCAAAAAAAAATTTCTAACTCTTGTGAAAGTTCCAGTTGACTGCCTGGTTTGCCAACCTCTTACATACCTGTTTTTTCTTTGGACTGAGAGCTTTTGGATTATTACTCCGAGCTAGCTACATTCCCCTCACACTTATCTCTGGTGTCTGCTCCACATACACACACACATTCTTGAGGCCTATGACATGCACTCCAAGACCTTCCTTACTTTTCTCTCGCTTTTTTTTGGGGGGGAAGGGGTGCTGATTGTCTAGTTTTCTCTCCTATATCTTAATGATCATCAACTCCTCCCTTCCCCCCTTTGAAGTTTTGTACAGTTTGGCCTGTTTCACCAACGGGATGTGTGTGGATTTGCAGATGATTCTGGAGAGATTCATGCGGATTGCAGGGGTTGAACTTCCATCTGCCTTTTCTCATGGGCTACTGCTAGGGAAGCACTCTCTCCTCCCAGTGGATGAAAGTGATATGCTACATTAGAGCAGCTCCATCGCTGTCCCTAAATTGGGTCCCTATCCCGCATTTAGGGACCAGAGACCAAAAATCAACTCCCACCGTGGTCTCCATCCGCATCTGTATTTTACGGATTTCATCCTTGGTCCCTCTCCAGACCCTGGATCCAGGGATTGGATAGGGACCGAGGATTGTGCACTCACAGCACACATCAACGTAAATGTCACACAACACACACCACAACCTCAAGTGACATCTTGTCAACACCACACCAATACTCAAACGTCATGTTGATTTACAGACTTCCTGGTGTGGCAGAACAAGTCTGTGAGTCCCTATATGCATTCCCGGGTCCGTATTTTTGATTGATAGGGACCTGAAAATACGGACCACAGTGGAGATGCTCTTAGTTAGAGCAACTCCACCATGGCCCCTACTTTGGGGCCGTAAAATTGTGTTGATTGGGTCCATGCAGCCAGTTTTACAGTCTCGAACTGCTGCGGCATACACCACAGCTTGGTGGAGAAGTTTGTGAAAATTGATGACAGGTGTGCTGCCGAGGGCAGTGTTGTGTGTGAGGGTTGAGTTTCACATGTTGTTGTTGTGTGAAAGTGTTGTTTGGAGGCCGTAGGTGAGTCCCTAGGAGTCCCTAAATGTGAGGACTCTTGAGGAGAATTTACGGACTGCTGTAGATTTTAGTGACCGCAGTGGGTCGTTTTGAGTCTGTAAATTCCACCTACAGACCCGGTTTACGGCCCGCGGTGGAGTTGATCTTAAGTCGGGTGTTGTTCTGGATCCCTTTTTTGCTAAACTTAGTCATCAATCAATTATCAGACCATCTCCACCGCGGCTGCTAAACCACGCTGCCAAACCAATTATAGCAGCGCCACCACGGCTGCTAAACAGTGAAAATCTTTGGTACCTCGCCTCTCGGCTGCTATCACAATACGAAATATAGAATCAGGATAGCAGCCCAACCTGACCCAACCTCCACAGGTATCACAAGAAATTACTGTGATTCTCTCATCCACCACCTCCCCCATATCCCCCAATATCCAAAGCCATATCCCTCCATCCAACCTCCAGCACAAAAACCCAGAAACCAAAGCCCATCAATCAACCTTGTCCAAATGGCCCCAGCCAATGTCCCGCTCGATCCGCTTCTCCGAGACCTCGGAACCCAGAAAACCAAAAGCCAACCAAGCCAAACTACCCAAGTGGGAGCAAGCCAAACCAAAGTAGAAGAGGTCGGAACTAAGAGATTGGCTAGCTATACTGAGAATGAGGATGCCCAGTGTGTAGTGGTGTAGTGTTCTTTGGGGAGCGGGGGAGAGAGTTTCACAGTGCAGAGCTGCCATATTTGGCAGTGTGCGGTGTCAAACTTCCAAGGTGTGTGGTGCTAAAAATGTGCCGCAGTTGCCAAACTCCAAGATTTTGGCAGCTCAGATAGCATCTTGGGGCGTTGATAAACGCACTCCTCCCCCCTCCCCGCACGCCCACGCTCGAGATGTCACTTGGCACCTGCCAGCAGGTACCTGCTACAACTTTAAACAATTAACTGGACACCTCCAGCCACCAGCTGTGCATTTGAAGGATGTATTACTATCCAAGAAACAGTTCTGAATGCTCCACCTTCAAAGCTGGTGGGTGTAAGTGCCCAGGGCACCTTCTGAAAGTGTGGCAGGTACCTGCTGGCGGGTGCCAAGTGACATCTCTAGCCCACGCCCCTCCAAAAAGGGGCGTGCAATCCCACCCACCCCTCAGGGAGGGGCGGGCAGACAAACCAGACTGTACCCCTCCCGGCCGGGAGGGGTACAGTCTTGATGGCCAGGAGGAATCCCTCCTGGCCATCAGGACCAGTCTCGGTGGCCGGGAGGGATTCCTCTCGGCCATTGAGACTGTATCGTCTCAACATGGCCAGGAGGAATCCCTCCTGGCCATTGAGACACACAGTCTTGGTGGCCAAACCACCAAGACTGTGACAATACAGAGGCCTTGGGAGGGAATCCTCCCAG